TGATTTTTTTTTTTCTTAGAATCACATTGCTGCATTGTAGTTTTTATTTGGTAACTTCATGTTTTTATTCTGTCAAGACTATGTTTTGTATTGGCACTGTTTGGTGACAAGAGATTCACATTGTAAATTATGTTGTAATATTTGGGAAGACTCAGTAACTTGGTCTTCTGTTTATAGCTAAATGGATGCACATTGAGGCCATTCTCTTAAGTGAAATAAATAGGGCATACCTGAGTAAATACAAGTAAATTCTCTGGTGTGAAAAACTAAAAGTGTAAATAAGATTCAAATGCTATAATTGAGATTGTGAAATAGGAAGAAAATAGCTAAAGGGGAAGTAGGAAGGGGAGGGGAAAGGAAATAAGGGAAAAGAAAAAATGTGAAAAAAGGAAAAGTTGGAAACAGAGTCTTTGTAAATATGAAAGGGTGAAGAGGGTGAAGTGAGGGCAGGGGTATGGGGAAAAAATAGGAACCAAGACATATCTTGTAAAGGTACAAGATCCCAACAATAAATGTAACTATTGTTTGCTTTAAATGTACCAATAAACTTAATGGGGAAAAAATAACTTGGTCTTCTTCCAATAATTAAGTAATAGAATTGCAATAAAATTACAGAATTCTGTCTTGCTAAATGATACTTTGTGTTGACGTCAGTGATTGGCTCAAGGATACTAATATCAGCATCTTGTCATTCAGTGCAGTCCAATTCTGTGCTTTGAATACAGTTACAGTGCAAGATGATGTGCTGCTTTTCCCCCTCTATACAAAGATATTTTCACAGTCTGTGTAATTCAGTAGTAGTTAGAATATGGTAAATTTGGGGGGACTGTGGACTGCTTAGGCTTTTTTTTTTTTTTTAATTTGGCGGTTTGAGTTTTATAACCTTAAGAGTAATGTGATTCTCCAGCCCTAGTTTGGGAATGGTTAATGGCGTGTCATATTTCTGTCTGTGGAATATTGTTTAGCTTTTCATATGGCTCTGAGGAAGAAATAATTTCTCATAAATCACCCAGTACTCTTGACTGCTAACTTTTTTGCATCTCAGTTTTGGATTTGAGTAGTGGCCTTACTTATTTTTTAGCAGGCTTGGTTCCTGTAAATTCTTCTGTCAGACATTACAGTTGGTGGCAGACCTATGGTATGCGTGCTGGAGCGGGTGTGCAGATCCCTGTCTGTTGGCACGGGAGCCAAGTAGCCCCTGCCAAAGTTTGACAAATCAGCAAGCATATGACAGCAGATTTGGACATTTAAATGTGCAAAAGTACACTAAATGCAAATTTTTACCTTTCAATAAAAAGATATTTGTATCGTTTAAAGCTTTGTTATTGTGTTTTTCTTTTAAGACAAAAAAATGTTAATGTATCAGTTTTGTTTTCCCTAAACTAAAAATTCTGTATTCAGGTTTAATTGTACTGTTAGCACTTGGTGATAAATCAGTGGGTTGCATTTTGGGCACTGGTCTCTAAAAGGTTTGCCAGCACTGTTAAAAAGGCACATGAGAGGTATTTGATGTAAGTTCATCATTACCAACATACTTGTTTTATAAGGATAAATTATGGTCTAGTAATACAGGAAATTTTGATTTGAGTTGAGTGAAGTTATAAAGATATCAAGACTTCCTAACTGAAAAACTTTTGGAAATCTGGGCATGGTGGGGCAGGCAGGCCTGTAATCCCAGCACTTGGGAGGTTGAAGCAGGAGGATCGCTGTGAGTTTGAAGCCGGCCTTGGCTACACAGAGAATTCAAGGCCAGCCTGAACTACATAGCAGAACCCTGTGTCAAAAAAATCCAAACCTCTGGGAATTTTTATGTGCTAATGTACGTTGTAAATCTCAGATCAAGATAGTATAAAGATTTTTAATAAAATTTTTACCACAGTGGCGTTTTGGGAGGGGAAAAGGAATGTCTTTATTTCTTAAGAGCGTATAGAGAATCTTTTTGTTTCTTAAGCGTATACTTCTAGAAATCCATTTGACTGTAAATACTTTGGAATGACTTAAGGTTCGACTTGGGGTGATTTTTCAGTTCAATTGAGAATTCAGGATAAAAGACAAAGTAGCAGCTATATCTTATTTTTAGAATGGTGAGCAAGGAGCAAGAGAAAATGAGTAAAAGGAGTGTGAAGGACAAATATGGCTCTGTAGAACAGGTTTTCTCAAACTTCTTAGATTTTAAATATTCTTTACAGTCTTCAGAGTTGAAAACCAAAGAGCTTTCGTTCACGTGGATTATAGCTGTCTATGTTTACTGCATCAGAAATTACACTTGGGGGGCCAGGGCTGTGAGAGGCTCTGGGGTGCTTGCCGATCTGCCAGGAGTCCAGCGTCAGCCCTCGGTAGTGGCACCCTGTCTTGGGATGCACTGTCCATTTCAGGTTCCGTGCTGTGCACTGGCGTGCAGTGTGAGTGCCCGTGACAGTGATACTGTTGCGCACTGCCAAGTTGGGAGTTAATTTTATCGCTGCAGAAGGACACACACAAACTGAATTTCAGTGTTTGGGCAGAAAAATGAAATTTACTGTTTCTGTTGATTTTGTGTATTTATCCTTTAGTGGGTTTTAAGGAGTGTGAAAGAACATTTTCTTCCCTCAAAGAAAAGAAACCATTGAGTTTTTTTTTCGGTCCAGTGTTGTACAGATTTCTTAGAGGACAAGGACTGTGTGTCCGCTGAGGCTTGTGTGGTGATGTTTGTCATTCTAATACCGTGCAGCATTCTGGTCGGGCTGTGGCCCCTGTGGCTCAGTGAAGAGCTCCTCACTGATTCCCTCAGTCCGAGGCTGGGTGTGGCTCACTGCAAGGTGGACTTGCGCAGGACGGCCAAGCACTGGAGGTTACTGGACTATTGATTAAGACATGAGCTGTTGGGCACCTGATTCTAACCTTTTCAGTTATGGTTTTTCTAATATTAGAAACCCAAAATATAAATAAGGAGTAAAATAAAGGAGAGATGGTGGGAAACAGTGAGGAGGATTCTGAGGCATGGGGAGGGATGGAGAGGAGAAGATGTGGAGGATTAAAAATGGTCAAGATGCAGTACATACCAATTCCTCAAGGTGAGTATAGCTATTATGTATTGCCAACATATGCTAATAAAAATAAAAGACCTTGCATCATCCAATTTAAAATATACGTTCATAAAAATTTATGTTTCCATGTAAACCAATAGTCTTTTCTGAAGTGACAAAAAACTTTTCTAAGACAAGATTTTCATAACAGGGTCACAGTTTTATTATTTATTTATTTATTTATTTATTTATTTATTTATTTATTTATTTATTTTGGTACCAGGGATTGAACTCGGGTCCTTGCGCTTTCAAGGCAGGCCACCGAACTGCTGAGCTAAATCCCTGGCCCCAATAGTTTTATTTTTTAAATCCTTAGGTCTAAAAGTACAGCTGAGTCCTTATGAATCTGATTGTGCAGTTCAGCCTGAAACAATGGATCACATCAAGTAGCCTCTGGAAAAGTCCATTGTTTGCTGCTCATAAAGACAGTGAAAAAGGCAAATTTTATATTATAAAAGTAATTTTGACTTGGGGTAATGGAGGGTCTTCTGACCCTACTCAAAATACTGCTGGTCTATGCCAGGATTAACTGGATTACTGCCTAAGGGGTCATGCTTTATCCCTTTTGGATGTTACTGAACTTAGTGTTTCTTGTTGTCTAAAATGGAACTATAGGCAGGGATATCGCTCAGTGGTTCCACCGCCTGCCTCACAAGCGCAAGGTCCTGAGCTCAATCCCCGGTACCAAAAAAAAAAAAAAAAAGTAATGGAACTATAATGGGGACTTATCTCACAGGGTTGTTTGAATTAAATAAAATCATACATGTAGTTAACGGTGTGCTAAGCTTAATGCTATCCTCTTATTTCAGAATTTTAGTGCTATTATCATTTGGGCTCAGAATTTTTCATTGGTTTCTCATCTCAATTGAGGTAAAAACCAAAACCTTTGAAACTGCTTAAAAGCTTTTTCTTCATGATTTGGTGTATTGTTACCTCTTCTGCTCTCAAGTATTTGCCCTGATCCCAAATCCCCCTTGCTCATCATGCAAGTGGCCTCCTTGCTCTTCATCTGACGCCAGTCGTGGCCTTTTCAGTGCCTTTTGTACTTACATTCTTCACCTAGTGTTCATTTCTTCAGTTCTTGGTGTTTCTCATTCCTTGTCACCTTTAGATTTTTCCTTTAATGTCACCTGTATGAAGTCTTTTTCCATTTAGCCCTTCTCTAGACTTAGTCTTTGTCTCGCTGCTTATTTTATCTCTAAGATTTTGGTTATTTTCTAACACACTAGGTATTGGTCTGGTAGACTTTAGCCTCTTTTTGGGATGATACTGTTTTATTTATTTTTTTTACTTAACTTGCTGACTGTTATACCCCTAGTACCTACAGTGACACTTGGTATATATGAAGTGCTGAAAAAATATTTCAGTGAATTATTGCTGCTATAAAAATGAAGGAAAATAGTTTTGCTTCTTAGAAATGTATAATCTTGGTTGAACAGTACCTTTGAGTTAAAAGGAATATATAAAGTGTTTGGCATGGCACATTGGACACTTAGTGATGCTTATTAAGTGGTGCTGTAACTGAGTCATGAGAACAGCAGATTAAGATATTTTAGATAGGAATGACCTGAATACTAGAAACTACTCACATTTTAGGGATAGAGGTGGATACTGTTGAGAGGCACAGTGGAAACACATGTGGAGAGTAAAGTATTTGGATTTTGTTCTGTTGGTAATGAAAAGTTTTAAAATATTTTTAAGGCAGAGGTACTGTGATAATCACTCATGGCGATCCTCCTGCCTCAGTTTCACAAGTGCTGGGATCATAGGTGTGCACCACCACACCTGGCCCCAAAGTTATATGTTTTGAATATTTATATAATTACAAACCTCATTAATAAAGTTTTTCATTAATTATTTCATAAACTAAGATCTTTATTTTAAAGTGAATCAAAATTTATATTGGTGATTAACGTAATGAATATACTAACATAGGGCAGAGTGTGTTTAGTCCAGCAAATATTGGTCAACCAAGAAAGACAACGCTGTCTCCTGCCCAGTTGGATCCTTTCTATACTCAAGGAGATTCTCTGACTTCAGAAGATCACCTCGATGACACTTGGGTGACTGTATTTGGGTAAGGCTTTTGGACTTTTATAAACAGATATGTGTACCCCAACATGGATAGTGAGTACTGCATTATCAGGCATTACAGAAAAATAGAAAGAATTGCACAGTAAGGCTCATATACCCACAATCTCAGTGTTCACAGTTTTTCAGTTTGTCATCCATCCATTTATTCTTTTGTTGTTGTTGTTGGTATATTTCATAGTAAGTTGCAGGCATCAGTCCATGCCACTTTGACACTTCAACATGCACTATTAGCTGGAGTTCCATAGCTTTCTCAAATCATTTGTGGTCCTCTCCCCCAAATTATTTTCTCTGAAGCATATTATCTCACTGGTAGAGCTTTTCCCCCTACTTTGTAATGGCCTCGACCTCTAGAAGACTTAAACAGTTTCATGCTAACAAACTTGAGCTTTGTTTGTGTGCCATACAGTGTGTCACTGGGTTTATACATTCTAGTCAAAGAGTGTTGCATGTTAGAAACAGAGGATAACAGTCCTAGATGCATATGGACTACAGTTTAACACCCTCCAAATACTTTAAAGTACCTTAGAGATCTTGTGTAATTGTTTATTTTATAGAGGAGGAAACAGGTACAGACACATAAAATGGTTGAGCTGTTCACATCTAGTTAACAGAAAAGCTTCAGCAAAACTCAGGTCTTTGATTTTTCAGGCTGATATTTATTCTACACAATGTAAACTTATTTCTCAAAGTGCATATTTGCCATGCTCATACTGGATTTTTATTATATTTATTTTTGGGGTAAAAAAAGATAACACACGTACTCCTTGAAGAGCAATGAACAATGTTTAGTGGATTCTATGTGTTAAAATTCAAAAAGATAGTACAAGGATGTGTGGTAAAGAGTGTTTACTAGTTGTTTCCAGCTATAATTTTTCTTTTTAAGATAGCGATTGCCAGGTTCTGTGTGTTATTGACTCTGTTTTGATTAGAAGCAGGATCATTGCATGTGCTTGTTCTCCAAAAAATCCAGTGCTCAGCCATAGGTATAACATTTGGGCTGGTTTCTTTTTTAAAAAATTGTTTAAGACTTTATATTTTCATAAAATAGATGAATGTTTTTTAATATGGGAGTCTTTTCTTGTCTTACTCACTTTCTTCTCCTAGGCAAAATACCCAGCACCCACAACTTAAGGAAGGAGAGATTGCTGTGGGCTTTGGTTTCAGTGCATGGTTAATTGGCACCAAGGCAGGGTGGACGTAGCAGAGAAGCATAGCAGAGGAGAGCAGCTTAGTGCACAGGGAGCACGGTCGGGGGAGCCAGGGAGGGAAATCTGCCCTCTGTGGCTGCCTCTTTGGCAAGTCCGCTGAATTGCTCACAGTATGCAGTCTCTTTTCATAAAGCCCTGCCTATGGATGAGTACGTGAAGCTCTTGGGAGACATCTAGGTATAATCTTACAGTTCCTAATTACGTGTTTCACTTTCAATAGTAATGGTGGTGTCACTTTCATGATTCCCAGTGATTAAATTATTTGAAGTCCTTTTGCCGCCCTCCCACGTAAGACACTCCCTTAGTGCCTCCTTATTGTGTTAATTTTATGTTTTAGTAATCTGTCTGAGGATGAAGCATTCTCCTTTAAGGCATAAAATGTTTTTATTTTTATTATTTATTGTGAAATACTTCTAAAATGTGATTTTATATATATATATATATATATTGCTTTTATTTATACACACACACACACACACACATATATACATACATTGCTTTTTTCCTAGTTTATCATGAAATATAGTTCATTGTTTTGGGTGATTCTTTTTGAGAGTATTGAAATATTACTTTCTGTTCAGAGTGGTCCTAGGGTCTTAGAGTTAGGTTTTATTTCTTTTCTTTGTTTTTGGTACTAGGGATTGAACTTGGGACCTTGTGCTTGCAAGGTAGGCAGCAGAACCACTGAGCTAAATCCCTGGCCCATGGTTTTTATTTCTTATCTATCACCCTCACTTACAGCCATTCTTTTTTCTGTTTTGTTTTTGTTTTTGTGCTGTATAGGCACTTTGCCTTATTTGTCTGTCTTTAGGGTTAAAAAAGTCCTATCCAGAAATATTTTAATATTTTTAATTCCTCCTCTCTCTAGTCAGATTTTTTTTCTGTGGGGTTCTAATCTAAGATCCAAATTAACCAAGTCAGTGAAGACCTCCAGTTATATTTTTTCATACTTCTGATAGATACTAGCTTTAAAATAGAAAATAGTTTTATTGTTTGGACTATAATAATAAGATCACTGAATTTTCCCTTTGAAGATATGGCTGTTAAATTTTGATTACTGCTCTTTGAAGTGATTTTAAACCATTAATACTGGTGCTAAATTTTATTTTTGTTTGAGGGACTCAAGGCAGAATGTTATGGCTATATATTTTAAAATTTCCTCCTGATAGTCCTAATGTATCCAGCTGCATGTAAACATATACACTATAAAATAAATTACAGAACTTCAGCTATTTTTGAAAAGCTGTGAGAATGGAAATTGTAGAGATTTCAGAACTAGAATCTGGCAGTCGGCATAGCCGAGCCAATACTAACAGCTGTTTTGAGTGAGCGCTCCTTGACAGAGAGCCTGTTCACGAGAAAGTGGGATCAACAGGGGTCTCTCACTAGTGCCCTGGGTGCCGGGAAGGGGGGTGCTTTATACATTTGTCTTGATGGTGGAAGTTGACTGTTTTGTCTGGGTGACTTTTTTTCAGGTTTCCACAAGCATCTGCTTCATATATATTGTTACAGTTTGCACAATATGGAAATATCTTAAAACATGTGGTAAGGCTCGCTTTCTTATCAATTCAGGAGTTTGGCTAAGGAACAAAAGGCTGTGAATTGAAGGAAACTACTTCTGAATTTTGTGTTTTTTTGTAAATAAAATTTTATTTTTAAAATTTTCAAAGAGCATGTCCTTTGGAGTCTAAAAGGCTCAAAGTTGCATAATGTGTGGTAAAATGAATAAAAATAGAAGATAGCAAGAGTGAGAATTTCAGGTTCCACCCTTCCTTTTTCAAGTGATTCTGGTTGCTTAAAAAAGTTAGATTATGCTAAATATTATTTTACTGTTTTCCAATTTGATCTTGCTTTATTGACAGTAAAGGAAAAAGGAAGCTTTTAACTGTATAGCATTTTTAGAGTTCTTTTATATAGAGCTTTAACAAATGACTGGACTTGGCATAAGTTATGCCACCATTCTTTTTTCGTTATTAAAAATTTAGCTTCACAAAATCATATTGATGAATTAAGTTTTAAAACATTTCATAACAAGTGTTGATAATGACCTTTTTATAAGAAACAAGTGTTTTGACAATTATTTTATTTTCATAGATTATTTGCCACTTATGTGGTCTATGAGAACTGAATAGAGATTCATGAAACTGTTTCTATAGGAGTTTTGTTGAATTCTAGTTTTTTACTGGGCATCAAATAAAAAATGAAAGTATAAATTAATTCATATTCACACAATTTTGTTTTCTTTTTTTTTCTTTTGAGTTTATTGGTACATTTGAGGTATACAGTACAGTTACATTCATCATTGGGATCCTTTAGCTTTACATGGCAGGTCTTGGTTCTCATTTTTTCTTCTTGTCCCTGCCCTCCCTATACCCCCTCCGTCCCTCCCCATTTACAAACAATTTTGTTTTCTAATAGAGTTCATTTAGTGTGGTTTTTATATATATTTTTGTCTTAAGAGACAACTTCATTTTTTGCAGATGTCTAACACAGGAAATTGGATGCATATTCGTTATCAGTCTAAACTGCAGGCCCGGAAAGCATTAAGCAAAGATGGGAGAATATTTGGAGAATCCATCATGATTGGTGTAAAACCATGTATAGACAAAGTAAGTTTTCGGCGATAAAAATAATCTGCAATAATACATAAGATCCTAATAAGATTACTGACATTTAGAAATGGGAAGAAAGGAGCTAAAGGTGTAGGGAAGGTGGGATGGGTAGGGGAAGGGTAGTAAGGGAAAAAAAAAATGTGAGATAATGAAAAGGTGGAAATAAAGTGTTTGTAGA